TACTTAACTCGTAATTGGCTTATATTTACTCAAAATGTAATTCACACTAATACTCTATATAAAAATAAACTTTGACCCAGTAGGCATAGAAACTGAATTGCTCTAGTCCAGTGGTTCCCAAACTTATTTTGTCTACTGCGAACTTTGGGAATAAATATTTTTTTAGCGCCCCCCATATTTTCACATATTTAAAAACCACTATAACTTCAAATTAAACTAATTTATTATTGTGACCTATATATGTATATTAACGGAGAATTCTAAACGAAACTTTTACTATAACCCGCAACTTGAGACCTGCAGCGCCCACAAGGGGGCGTTATCGCCCACTTTGGGAAAGACTGCTCTAGTCTATAAGCGCTCTTAATGGTGACAAGCAAGAGACACAGGATCCTTGTCATACTGTAGATGTCTTGTCATGTCTTGTCTATCTCCTAAGTCTATGTCTGTTCAGATCGAACCACGATAAATCGATATTTTAATAATTATGTTTTTAAATGTGTGCAACATATGTTTCCACGGTGAATGCAATGTACACGAACACAATTAAGTTATTTAACATTTAAAAGGAAATCAGTTGTTATGCGTGCGAGAAATGAAAGTAAAAAACATGTTTATAGCAGCAATTGCGTATGAGATTTGAAACAAGATAAATTGAGTCATAACATAACGAGTATCTTGTTTTTCAAATCAGCAAACAAGCATTGTTGGAAAATGGTTCAGGATTAAAAAAAACTTGAGGTAATGTTAACTTTAATTGTAACCAATCTTAGCACATCTAACCGTTCCCCTTTCCACCCTTTTCGTTCAATGTAACGATGGAAAAAGGGAAGTGTTTGGGGTGGGAACGCATAGGAAAGGAAATATTATTTTTTTGTTAATCCCGTCTTCTTTTGATAAATGGTAGGCAATCTGCAAGTGCAGTGTCCATTGGCAGCGATTACTTCGCTGTTTTGTCAAATTCAAAATCTTTACTAATTTTTGTTAGGTCAAGTTAAAAGGCGAGAATATAAAATACATAGAAATATGAATTTGATGATATTGAATCGATAAATTGCATAAAAGTATCGCTTCAACTGGTTAACTGGATGCAATTTCTCCGCGAAAGTCATCGACCTCGATGACTCATAATATTTTTACGTGCGATCACGCTCGTGTGGTTTTTAATTGACATTGTTTTAAACGAATACATAACTCAGTAATGATGTTTAAAAATTATAATATTCTTAAATAATTTTCAATAAGTAACTGTTATTTTGTTACACTCAATACCAAAGTCACCAAAAAATTTAAGTAAAATGCACAAAGTTTTTTGTTGTCTTTGGTAATCGCAATAAGAAAATAAATAGCTTCTAGTTTGATCTCAAAAGAAAACAAAAATGTAAATAAAAATTGTATAATAGTTTTCTAAGTTTAGCTATTTTAAATTCTTTAAATAATTATACTCTGCATGAAGGTTTTAATTAAAAATGAATTAAAAATATGCACGATATTCTTATAACAAAAAGCTTACCGAAACAAAGCACTACACAGTACACGTTTAAAAAAACCATATAACTATAAAAGAAGAAAAAATGTAATCACCTTTGAAATTGAAAACCAAGTCACAAGCCAAATTCTCAACGATCTCCACACTGTCACTTGTACGGTACGTGTTTATGGATTAAAAAAAAATAATAAAAAAGTTATTTCAGTCTATGGTCGATATAGTGCAACCGCCCGGATTCGAATGCGTCTTTTGCGATGCGTCCGTTCCTTATATTATTTCGTCACGCAGTATGAACGCGGTTTATACAAGTTGGGGGGAGATTTGGGTTAAAACTGTTTATATGCTTTTCTCCTTAAAATTACCTCTAGAGGAAAAAATAGTGGCCAGATACAGCCGCATATTTCGTCCGGAAATGATTTTGTAATTATAAGAATGAAAATCATTGCGCATTACATGATTGTTGGATGATTTCTTTAAATTTTGCTTATTCCAACTGAAATTGGTTTCTCCAGAATATAATAAAAAAATAATTTTATACTGAAAGCAACTAAACGATTAACCGTGGGTTTTCGACACCAAAATCACCGTTTAAAACAACGGAATGGGATGACGTTAGTTTCATATAGAGGTTCAGGTCTCAGAAACCAACGATAAAATCTTGAATAGAAACGTTAATTTCATATATAGCAGCAATAAGTCTACCTTATGTTTTCAAAAGACAGCAATTCTAAAAAAACGTTCCAGAACTTTTAAAATCAAAAAACGATTATTTTTAAAATCAATTTTTCTTCTTATTTTCTGCGTATTTTTTATTTAAATCAAAATTTCAAAACTTTTTTATTTAAATATTGAAACATATGATTTTTAATTTTTAATCTGAGACTTACTTTTCTTAGCGTTAGTGATTAATTATTTTGATTGCAAAAGCAATTAGACATAGTCACGCATTTTGCTTTAACTAATTACAAGATTTGTGTAACTAACTCATATAATAATTAGCACAGAAATATTTTGGGAGATAAACTTTCTTAATCAAATTTCAATTGAAAAGAACTTTTATGTAACTAGCTGTCGCCCGCGAATCCGTACGAAATAAAAAAAACTATTCGTAGTCTATGAGTTGTTTTTGACTTAGTTCTTTCTATGCCGATATAGCGAGATCCATGGAGCTGTTCTGGAGATACTTTCTAGTACACATCCATCCATCTGAACATTTGCATTTATAGGCACTTACTAAGCTAGCGCGTACCATCTTTCGACCAAATCTCCACTTCACCAGGTGGGATCGTGGTCAAGCGCTAGCTTATAAAACGTAAAAAAAAATATTAGTAAGATAGCAACAAAAAATCGTTGCTACGTGACCTAGAAAGAACCGTTTAAAGTGATTTTTTTGTATTCTCCGTTTCATTATCTTTATATATATAATTCTTCTGTGCGTGTGTATGTCACTGAACTTCTCTCAAACAACTGGACTGATTTTGATGAAATTTTTTGTGTTTGTTCAAGGGGATCTGGGAATGGTTTATATTCACAATTTTGTCCGCTGGACAATGTTTTTTTAATTAATTTTTAATTTATTAGTAGTTGTTGATTTTGGAATGTCTTACATTGGATCCGACAGACGGCGCTACCATCGCAGTGTCAAATTTTAAATAATATTCGAATTAAAGACGTGTAGACAGGACAACGTCTGTCGGGTCCGCTAGTATTATATATTACTCTTACTAATATTATAAATGCGAATGTTTAGATGGATGGATGTTTAATACATGGTATCTCCAGAACGGCTGAATGGATCTAGCTGAAATTTGGCACAAATGTAGAAAACTGTCTGGAAGAACACATAGGCTACTTTTTAAGTTTTTTTAATTCCGCGTGGACGAAGCCTGGGTGACAGTAAGTTTGTAAATAAATAAAAAAAAACACTAAAGTTATTGTGAAAAAAACGATGAACGCTTTTATGCCGATGACGAACAATTTTAAACCTCTGTTAAATGTTACAAAGTAATTTTGATTATAACAACAATGATACAGGAAATATGTATTAAAAAATCTGTCAAAAAAACTTGTCTCCGTAGACGGACAATTGTTGTTTGTTTTTTGTATAATTTGTCAGTATTTTTAGAACGAGATTGCACTTTTTGTATGCAGTGTTCAAAATTTTGAAAGTCAATGCAAATAATTGCTCTCAGATTAGAAAAATGTGTATGTGTTACTAAGTAATTATTGGGTTTCCACTGTTCTTGTTAGATTATAGACAACTGTAGCATATTTTGTAGATTTTATGATAATGGCAAACTTTGATTTTTAATAAATTTCAACTAATCTATAGATTAACTAGCTGTCGCCCGCGACTCCGTTCCCGCGGGATTAAAAATAGGTGTTGGTCGATTCTCAGACCTACTCAATATGCTCACAAAATTTCATGAGAATCGGTCAAGTCGTTGGGGAGTTAACCTAAGTTATCAAGTAAATAAGATAAAAGTGGAGTGTCTATATCGAAAACAAACATATTTCGTATACGTAATGTATTTGCGTTGGTGTAACGAAAAACCATTTTTTTTTTATTTTATCCGTAACCTGGGGTGTGGAGGTCGAACTGTTGGACCGATTTGGACGGACATTAGACGGGAAGGTAGTTGATATACGTGGCCATATTATAGCCTACTTTTTTTTAAATTCTGCGTGCGACTAAGTCGAGAGTGACCACTAGTAAACAATAATCCTATTAGCTACTTTTTTTGTATTATATGAAATAAAGGGCAAACGAGTAGGGGAGCATCTGGGGGTTAACTCAGTGTGCCAAATTCAGAGTATTTTAACGTTTACTTGAAAATTTACTTAGTGTACAGTTAAAAGTTTTGCTTAAGGTTATTAAACAAGTCTTCATTGTATTGAAAAAACTTCGTGAATAGTTTTTGTTAAAATTTTCTCCTAAATTACCACATTTACAGCACGCTGTCTATTTCGAAACGAAAAGGTGATCTGACGTTGCCATAATGCATGAGTACGGACCGTCTAATGACTTGTGAGTCACTGCTTAATGCACGCTTACTGTAATATAACAAGTTTCCATTGTACGACGTCACGATGTCACTTGAGACTTATTCATATTTGACTGTAATAAATCAGAGGGATTAGACAAAGTGCATTCGATCCGAAGCGATCCCTAACGAACTTCAAAAATATATAGAACTGAGAATAACTTTGATTAAGTCACGTGATTGTCGCGTGTCAGTTATATACAATTTTGAAGTTCGCTATAGAATCCACTTTGTCTAACCCTGCAGATTAGGAAAAGAATCTAGGTTAGAGGAAACATAAGCAAGTAGTCTATTTGTATCCTATAGAAATGAATATTGTTTTTGAAAAAAAAAATTGTAGAAAAAACTTTTACGCCTTCTGGTTTGATTGTCGTAGCGGAATCTTACTTTAGAACAATTTTCGGTGTTATTTCATCAATTGTTTGAGCTTGCTTTTTTCTTTTATATCAATGGAAACAGCATCAGTGGTTTCTCTGTGTCGAAATTTGAAGTCTAGATGATGAGATTTGTAACGCTTACGAGAGATAGGAAAGAGTGTACAAAAATTTGAAAAAAAAAATTGCTAAAATTTATGGTTTCCTTACCATTATAAACAAAGGCCTTAATTCGGAACTTCGGTCATCATCAACCTGCCCTTATCCCTATCGAGGTTCGGCACAGTATGTACTACTCCTCCATACATCTCTATCAGCCGTCACATCCGAGTCTACCCCCTTCTTACGCATATCCTCTTTCACACATTCATTCCATACTTTTTTTGGTCTTCCCCTACCCTTGTAGAGCCATCCACATGCAATCTCATTACTTTTTTGCTTATATCATAATCATCCCTCCTCATAACATGTCCAAAGCACGCTAATCTTTTACTCCTCAATTTCTCGATCACTGGCGCTACTTTCAAACTTCCTCTAATATACACATTTTTAACTTTATCCTTTCTTGTCACACCACACATCCATCTTAGTATACGCATTTCAGCTACATGCAATCTTCTTTCATCCGAAACCTTGGTGGCCAAACAAGCAAGTCGGAACTTCGGTACTAAATTAAATTACTCGTACGTTATTTTTTAAATAGTATAGGGACGACTAAATGTTGTACACATGTTTCGATGGTGGTAATCTACTCGTACATGTAATACAGTTTGCTTTTAATATTTGTTGTCTTTCCTACTTAATTTTGTATAGCTCTCATTCTGTAACTATTGATTGTAATGGCACAAAGTTCACAGACATGTTAAGAAAGCATTACAAGAGTTTTTTTTATTATTATAAAAACAATTATAATATTTAAGTCACTTCAGGTAATTAATTACAAGTCAATTGATGAAATATAACTAAATACAGACCATTTTTTTTGTATTCAAAATATTAGCAGATTTTTTTTGAAAATGTACTTATATTTCTTTAACCATTCCAACTAAGCTCTAGGCTTGTGCTAGGATATGGTTTACGACAATAGTCGAATGGCGGGATTCGAAATCCCGACCTCGTGGTCGGAAACCTGTATCCTTAACCATGAGGCTATTGACGCTTCTATTGAGATTGATTGTTATTATCTGAACGTGATATTTATTCTATTGGTGATTTTGTCGGAACTTAAAAAAGATGGAAAGGAGAAGGGAAATATGATTAGTAATTGGAGACAGGCGAAACGCGGCAACGACTGTCTTTTTTGTGGTCGTGGTCTCACAGATCAAGCGAATGCAGCAGCTAAGGCTGGCTCTACCAATGTTAAATAATTGTGATAGATATGGTCATTGTAATTGTAGCAATCACTCAACTAACTACAAGGGTAAGTTTACTGGCTTACTGGCATCCAGTATCGAACGTATTCACACATACCCCAATCCGGTAATAACGAAGTAACAGCCCGAGCCCGAGGTTCCTGAGGGAGCTCTCGAGCTTAGTTACTCTTAAACAAGGTTCAGGCTAAGCGCCATCTGAGCTAGGCCACCGCAAGCCCGGTGAAGCTGTAAGTGCCTCCCCAAGGCAAACAGTGGCAATCAGTTACAAAAAAAATCACACATAGAACTTTCATTGCGTATAACGTCGAATTACAGATTGATGGCTGCACTCTACTGGTGTACATGACACAATCACCTAACCGCTGGTCCGATGCAGGCTATATTGGGACTGTTCAGTACAGAACAAGAAAATAAAAAACTGTTGGAAATATCTTAGATTCGCGTTTAATTAGAAGAAGTACATTAGTAGTGCGACATGTGTGCGCTTGAGTGCGAGAATTGCGAGAATGAAAGAGTGAGTGCTTGAAGTTGAGTGACGTCGCCCCCGCGCCGCTCGGCTAGGTGTCAAGTTTGGCGCAGACATCCTCCGGGGCCTTGAAGGCGATAGCCTTCAAGACAGGTCTTCTTCCGAGGAGGGTAGAAAGCATAGTCTGTTGAGTGCCCTTCGCACGGTCCCTTGAGAAGTGACGACGTCAGCGACACGAGGGACATCATCAGGACCAGGATACAACTTGTTGACTCGACCGAGGCGCCAACATAATGGAGGTGCATTGTCCTCCTTTACAAGGACAAGATCGTCGATCTTCAAATGTCTTGATTCAGCGCGCCACTTCGAACGTTGTTGTAGTTCCGCAATGTATTCGTTAGTCCAACGTTTCCAGAAGTGTTGCCTTATTTGCTCTAAGTGCTGAAACCTGCTGAGTCGATTGGCGTTGCAGTCCAGGAAGCTTGGTGACGGTAGCGAAGTAAGCGGCCTGCCAATCAAAAAGTGTGCCGGGGTGAGAGGTTGGAAATCATTAGGCGAGGGACTGAGGGGACACAAGGGTCGGCTGTTTAGGATAGCCTCGATTTGAGCAAACAAAGAAGTCAGCTCCTCAAAGGTTAAATGACTATTTCCTAAGACCCTACGAATGTGAAATTTAGCGGATTTTACTCCAGCCTCGGCTAAACCGTTGAAGTGAGGAGCGTATGCAGGTGAGAATTTAAAATCGATACCTCGAAGAGCTGCATAATCATGAATAGTGTCAATATTTGACTGTAAAAAAGATGAAATTTCTTTAGACGCGGCAACGAAATTCCTACCGTTGTCACAGTAAATTAGTTTAGGTAAACCTCTGCGAGCTATAAATCGTTTTAGTGTTAAAATAAAAGCATCCTTACTTAATTCGCTGACGGCTTCCAAGTGAACGCATTTGTAACGAAAGCATATAAATATACACAAATAACATTTAGTTATTTTACATCCGCGGCCCTTTCGATCACTGATCAAGAACGGTCCAGCGAAATCAGTACCAACGGTATTAAATGGAAAATCTGGCTCAACTCTTTCGTTAGGCATATCGCCCATTATGTTACTCATCGTCGTACCTTTGAAACGACGACAAACTAGACAGTTACGAGTTACCTTTCTTGCCAAGTTGCGGCCACCAAGAGGCCAATAGCGGTCTCTAATTGAAGCTAGAACGTGTTGGGGTCCAGCGTGTAAAAGACGCTCATGTTCATTTTGAAATAAAAGTTTTGTTAATAAATGGTCAGACTTTAGAATAATAGGGTGACGTTTGTCGTAAGAATAGGCGGAAGAATCGATTCTACCTCCTGCTCGAAGCAGTCCATCCGAGTCAAGAAAAGGGTTTAAGGAAGAGAGAGATAACTTTGTTGAAAGAGATTTTTTAGACTTTAACCTAATAATTTCATTAGAAAAGGATTCGTTCTGAGCTTGGGTGATAATGAACTGTAGGGATTTATTGAGTTCATCCACGTCCAGACAGCCAGTTAGTTTATTGTTAGAATTACGGCAGTTGTGTAAAAATCTAATAACTCTTGCATAAGTACGTTGTAAGGTACGAAATTTAGAAAATCTTTTAAAATCTATCACAGGAGATGTCGTTATTATTTCCGCTGACAAAGTAGAAACCGTCTTCAACTCTGGCAAATCGAAAACGGGTGAAATTTCTTGAGGCCATAGATGATCGGGTTGCAAAAGAAAGGAAGGGCCATGCCACCAAAGATGACAGCTTACTATATTTCGTGGGTCTATACCTCGAGACGCGAGATCAGCGGGATTTTCGGTGGTAGGAACGTGACGCCATTGAGACAATTGAGTAAGTTCTCCTAGAGCAGCAACTCTGTTGGCAACGAAAGTTTTAGTTTTGTTGGGTGACCTTAGCCAGCCTAAGACCACGCTTGAGTCCGTCCAGTATATATGTCGATCGACAGAACGACGCAAAGCCTTAGTAACTGAATTGCTGAGTTGTGCTCCAAGCAACGCAGCACATAGTTCTAATCTTGGAATTGTAGTCGCCTTTAAGGGGGAAACTCGTGCCTTGGCGGTTATTAAATTAACTTGAACTTTATTATTTGAGTCAATAGACTTAATATAAATACAGGCTCCGTAGGCTTGCTGAGAAGCATCGCAAAAACAATGCATTTCAACTATTTTAGAATTTTGGATTAAAACTAGTCTTGGTACTTTGAGAGATGAAATATAGTGCAGTTGGTTAGAAAATTTAAGCCAAGTGGCAAGAATATCTTGAGGGATCTCGTCATCCCAGCCTATTTTAAGAAGCCATAGTTTTTGAATAAGAATTTTTGGTTTTATTGTACATAGGGATAGCAATCCAAGAGGGTCAAATATTTTAAATGTAGTAGATAAAATTGATCTTTTAGTAATGTTCTCAGGCGGGGAAAAATTAACTTGAAAATTTAATTCATCTGAAGAAGGAGACCAGCCGATACCCAGAGTGCTTGTAGAATTACTGATAATTAAGTTACCTTCTTCTGGATTTATCGAATCGGACATAAACAACTCGGGAACGTTAGAACGGTATTTTCTTAGATGAAAACAACCTTTTGTCAGTACATCTGACACAGCACGCTGAATGTGACGAAGCTCCGCGACGGAGTCAGATCCTGTAAGCAAATCGTCACAGTAAAAATCCTGTTGTATTATATTTTTTATTTTGTCGTCGTCACATTCCTCGCCCAACTGCCAGATGCATCTAGTACTTAAGAAACTCGCACTGGAAAAACCGTATGTCACCGTATTTAAACGTAAAGTACGTAAAGGGTAATTTTCGTTTTCCCGCCATAGAATAAGTTGTAGGTCACGATCTGACTCTTTTAAGCTAACCTGACGATACATCTTTTCTATATCGCCCGATAATATATATTTATATTGGCGGAAGCGAATTAAAATATTAAAAAGAGAATCTTGTATTGTAGGCCCTATCATTTGTAAGTCATTCACTGATAAACCTGACGTAGAACGAGCCGATGCATCGAACACGACACGTAATTTAGTTGACTCGCTCTTTTCTCTGATTACAGGATGATGGGGAAGAAAGAATGAATTAATAGGTTTAGGTATTTTAGATTCATTTAAGTGACGAAGCTCGTCATACTCGCGTATGAACTCAGAATAGGCTTTTTTAAGCTCTGGTTGCCTTCTAAACCGCGCTTCTAAATTTAAAAACCGTTTTTTGGCTAGTTGATAAGAATCACCTAAACAGTCTCGGTCATCACGGAGTGGTAAACTGACGCAAAATCGACCGTCACTTAAACGCGTAGTAGTGGAAAGGAAATGCTGTTCGCATAGTTTTTCCTCTTGAGTCAAGGGCTTATTGTGGGGAAAACTTTCTAATTCCCAAAATCTTGACAAGGCCTCTTCAAAATTATAGTTTTCATGTTGATCTATAGATAAATTATTAGGAAAATTATCATCCTTTAGACAGAAATGACATATTGATAAATTATTTGGTATAGAATTTTTAGGTAAATTAGGTAGGGGGCCAGCAACGAGCCAACCAAGTTTAGAGCTACGTAGATTAGGGGTTTTGGTTTGGTCCCCTAGACGGCGCTGCTCTGAGCCTATTAGGTCCCAGAATAAGTCAGCGCCAATGAGCATATCAATAGGGGATGGTTCGTTAAAACTAGGATCCGCTAATTCAAGTTTAGGCAAATTTATGTCTTTGTAATCAAAAGATATCTTTGGCAAATTGCTGGATATTATAGGTAAAACTAAACAAGTCATTGTGACGTTGAAAGAACTATTTATAGGTTGCAATTGTAAAATGCATCTTTTCGTATTTAGGTTAACTTGAGCATTACCAATACCAAGTATATTAACGTTTGAAGGCTGAGGAGTCAAGTTTAATTTTTGTTGGACCGACTCGGTTATAAAAGAAGACTGACTCCCGCAGTCAAGTAAAGCTCGCACTGTAATAGATTTGTTCGTTATGGGATTAGATACTAAAACCTTGGCTGTACACAACAACACTTTAGTAGAAGACAAGACGGACATTACTACCGATTGATCAGGCGGAACGCTATTGCTAGAATTTTCACATTCTTTAATAATATGTAAAAGTGAATTATGCCGTTTTTTACAAGATCGACAAGAACCTGGAA